AAAAAAAAAAAAATGACAGATTACGATATTCTCATTATATGTTACCGTAATAATATATCACAATAGAAAATTTTTATTAACACAGATGTTGGGACACATAAGTGGTGCACATTTAAACCCCGCTGTCACGATAGGAGCGGTTATTCTAGGAATTAAAACTATCCCTACAGGAATCCTTTACGCAATCGCGCAATTCATTGGAGCAACTATTGGATATGGATTATTAATGGTACAAATTTTTAATTCATTATGTTATGCACTTTGTTTGCTACTTGTCCTTGTAATTGGATATGCGACACTTTTTCGCCTATGCACATATAAAATGCACTAAATAGAAAAATTAAATATTACATTAATTAGTTATTCTTTATTATTTACTATTAAAATATTTTATGTGATTAGAAAATGAAAAATTATCACTTACGTGTGTTGTTGACGTCAGAATTTTATGATAAATCGATCACAAGTATGTCATTAATATAAATGTGTTAGATATTAAACGTTTAATTGAAATTTTAATGGAACAGACGATAACTCCATCCGAATTGTTCAACGATGGACGTTCAAACGCGACAATTGGACATTGTGTAACCGTTGTGCATCCTGGAATCAGTATCACGCAGGCTATTATAATCGAGATTCTTTGCACATCCTTTATACTTTGCGCAGCATGCGCCACTTGGGATCCAAGATGCGCCCACACCACAGATTCTACAGCGATTAGATTCGGTTTCTCCGTTGTTGGAGTTTCACTTGCAGCGGTACACAATTTGAATTAAAAATATATAATTGCCTGAAAAATCACCATAATTAGAGGAAAAATAGGAAATATGTTTTTTTTTAGAGTCCTTACACCGGTTGTAGTATGAATCCTGCGCGTACTTTTGGTCCAGCTTTTTGGAACGGGAATTGGACGAATCAATGGGTGAGCTTAATTCTATAAACATAATTTATTTGCCCGTTTAGAGATTTATATAAGTCTTTCTAAGTCTTCATATTATATTTCATATAATCTCTAAATCTTCAAGCTTAACCTTCATCGAATGTGATAAGAAACAAGTTTCCGTACTTTACGTTTCTCTTATTAACCTTATCGGTTTTGAGATGTTACCTAATAGATTTAAAGAAAAGAGTAGTGTAAATATTGATCTACTGTGATTAGATTACGTAATGATAATAATTTTTTTCTTTTTCTATAAAAATTTTATCCAGATTTACTGGTTCGGGCCGTGTGCTGGAGCCTTTCTTGGAACGTATATTTATGTATATCTTTTTGCGGAGAAGAAAGAGAAAGAGAATAAACATGACGATTGTCTCGAATTTATAGAATTAAAAGCAATTAATGATAACACAAATTATAGTGAAAAAAGAAATAAAAAAGAGGAAAATCTCGAAGAAAGTTTAGGATAAATGGAGAAACTGTTTAATGATCGTTAAGGTATGATAATACATTATCGATAGTCAATAATAGTCTTCCATCTCTGTTTCCATGATATTCAAAATAGTTAATGACGCCACCACGGATGTCGCTGCACGCTACAAGATGGCACGCACCTTTGTATCTCATTTATTTCATGTTATATTTCTTTTTTTTTTGTTCTAGAACAAATTTCATATTAATTCTATCTGATTATATAATATATACTTCTTTATCTAATTATATAAATATGACTTTCATATTATCTATTTCATATAATATATATATATAAATAATATATATATATAAATAATATACATATATATGCGTATAAAATAAGTACAATGATTTTAATTATTTTATATTTATTAATAATATAAAAATATATAAGGAAATGGTATATATTTAAATTATTTTATAAGAATTCTCTATTATTAATTTAAAAATTTATTTGTTTGTAGACAAAAAATATATTTAATTAAAATTAAATTAAATTTTTAATTATAATTAAAATCAATTGAAATTAGATAATTTTCTAGATAATAATAATGTTTATATGTCAATAATGAAATATTTTTAGTGAAACAAAAGCAAATTCTATTTAAAACTATTCTATTTTTTGAATAATTTCAGTATTGTCATTGATAATCTACTAAACGAACTAATCCAAGCAATGTACTCATGATACATATAATCAAAATATAATGATTGTAATAGACATTAGAATATCGCATCACAACTTAAAAATTATTGTAATAATAATAATAATGTAATAATAATTCGAATTAATAATGACATAGTTCATAAAGGCTTTTAGAATTTTATTAATCTGATCATATTTCAAATTGAATTAATTATACATATATATTAAAAAATATAAATTCAATTTATTAAAACAGCAATTTTATAAAAATCGAAAAAAAATTATTTTCTCTGTTTTTAATTAATTTTTTTCTTTATTAAACCATTTTTAATCATTTTTTTTAGTAATAGAAATAAAACTTATTCAAATTTATTTTTTAATTAAATATATAATGTACAATCTTGATGTTTGGTAGAAAATTAAATCATTCACTAGATCATAATGATAATAATGATAAACATAATTTGATAAACATAATTTAGAAACGCAGATCTCTGAAAACAAGATTTAGAAATACTATAAACTGTATCAAGCCATATAAAGACGTTGATCCTTAGCTATAGTTATACTGATTTCTAAATATATTCGATGACCTAGTGATTGCATAAACAAATTCACAATATTCAATCCGCGATGATCCAAATTATACCAAATTTTACCAAATTATAGTGACAAAATTACAAAATATCTAACTTAACTTAATCTAATTAAATTTTATTTTNTATATATATATATATATTCCTCTTTATTGTCTGATTAGATTCAATTCCCATCCAGTCAACTAATTAAAGCAAGATAATTACTATATATTAAATCTGTATGCAGCTATAGAAAGTATTGTTCCGGAATGCTTCCATGTGCCTGAGAAAGCAGATTAAAAACGTTAGGAAACACCCGGTCTGCATTTGACTGAATGTATCGACCGACATCCTGTTCTATTCTTGCCTCTTTCAGATTATGTGCACATGTAATACGAACATCTGCGTATTATTTTACATATGTATTTATGTACATATATACCCAGTTTTATAAACCAGTTTCATAGCTTGTCCCTTTCATCTGATCTCTTGTTCCCATAAAGTTAGCTCGAAAAATACACAAAAGATTCTGCAGAATTTATGGGAATGTGACATATCTTGGTTATAATATTTTTTAACCGAAATATAATGCCTAAACAGCAATACATACATGAAAAATCGATAAGTATGTGAAATCTATATTATGTAATAATATGTATCCCTTGCATAATAAGAAGAAATGCTATTAGTTTCCTTACATTGATAATGTTAGTATTATATAATATAATAAATGCAATGTATAAATGTAATAAAATTATGTAATTTTATTTATGCCAAAAATTAGAATTTTCATTTTCAATGTTGGAATATTAATTTATTATTATAAATTTATATAAATATAAAACTGATCTAATCAAATCAAAATTAATCATTTGTTTTGTATACTTTTGCTTTTCTACAAATATTATCAATCAAAATGATAAAGATGTTTCATTTGTCCAGAGAATATAAACGTCGTAGAGTATTCACAAACATGATGATATTGCGTCATATGAATCCATTTTTATAATTACACTTTTGAATTATTCTTTCATCTATATTAAAATAGATTCAATTTTCTACTTTCTAACAAAAAAAATATTGTAAAAATTCATTTGTAATTTAATGTATTGAGCATTGATTCTATTATATATATCTTGCTCCATCAATGAATATTGAGTATCGACAACAGATGTCGCAAAACTGTAGGCCCACTTAGGATCGTATACTATATTTTGTTTTAGGGTTCCAATAGAAATACACAATAGAAAAATATATTAATTATACAAATTTCATTTATAAGTAAAAAATTATAGATATTGATTGCTATTTTAATTAATTGAAAAACAAGAGAGAAAAATATAAATACTTTTTTAAATATTATTTCAAGATATTTTTCTCCTTTATTCTTTATGTTTATATTAATTACGATTTTGCATAAAATTTTAGATTTTTATATTTTTATAATTTCTTTTAACTCGAATTATTATTTTAAATTTCAATTGATATTTAAATTTTATATATGTATATATCATATTATATGTACATAATCATAATCAATGCTTTATCGAGTTTCTCGATTGCATTATTTTAATAAATATATTAAAGCAATGAATTTTTTAATTCTTTTTTATTCATCTTTTTATATTATTGTCAGAATGAAATTTGTTTCTGTAATTCACAGAATTCATCGAAGAAAAGGATCGAAATAATA